GCTCCCCGGCGCGGCGCGCCCGGCCCCGCACGGGACCCTCGCCCGCTCCCCTGCCCCGCCATTGCAAGGCGGCGCCGGTGGCCCACGCCTGTCTCCTAGCTGCCCGGGAGGCTGAGACTTGAGGATCGCGGTTCGAAGCCAGCCCAGGCAGGAAAGTCCTTGAGACTCTTATCTCCAATAAACCATGCAGAAAAGCCGGAAGTGGCACTGTGACTCAAGTGGGTCAGCGCCCAGGCCCAGAGTTCAACCGGAAATCCCCCCCCCACACACAAAGGGAAAAAATCGTTTCTGAAGGAAGGGTTTTCGGCATCATGAAACAGCCATGGAGCCCATTTCGGGTGCCAAGCCCCTGCTAGGAAGCTTGCCAGCCCCTCAGCTTCCTACTGAAGATCCCCTCCAGGGTAGCCTTGACTCCCTCTGTCCCTGGCCGGCACCTCAGGCTCTGAGAACAGGCTCACCATGAGCCAGCCGCTGACAAGCCTGGTGTGCATCTTCAAACGCGCCTGCCACGTTGGAATAAATGTCTTGTCTTGTTTGGCCATCTTGGTTCCATTTTAGGCTGCTCAGGTTAAGTAGCCTTCCCCTGCTGTGTAAGGTTACAAGAGGAAGTGGGGTTTGGGAGGGAGGCAGGTGGGGGGGATCCGTCGTGAGGGCTGTGTGCCTTTTCCTGCGGCATGGGATTGTGGTGCCTTGGCCTCTGGCCTTTGCCCTGTAGGGGAAGGCGTAGAGGGGGCTGAAGACTGAGCAGTGAGGAGAGTGAGGAGCAGCAAGTCCAAGCTGAGCAGCAGTCTTGTTTCAGAAGTTTCTGGTGAGTCTAAGCAATGTCCCATGCAACTGTCTGTTTTCTCCTCTGCTATCCAGTTCCTGAAGTGCGGTGGGAGCGATGCCATTGTAGGCCTCGGAGAACACCCTGTCTCATACCTCCAACCCTTCATTAACTCACAACCCCAGGCCTGTCTGAGAGAAGCCCTGCCAGCATAGTACGAAGAAGGCCAGAGGGTCCAGCGTACCAAGCAGACCTGGGCAGGTCAACACTGGCCATCTCCCCTAAGAGAGGACGGGCAGCAAGTGCATTGCTGGGGCTGAGGCCCATGCACACTGGACTGGGGACACCACGGGGAGCTGAAGCAGGCGGCGGAGAGGCTGGGCTCCGCCTGGGCTCTGGGCTCCGCCTGGGCTCAGCAGACTGTGAGGATAGAGGCACGGCAGAGGGGAGCGGAGGCCACGGCGTGGGTCAGGCCACCCTCCCCATGGCCTCCAAGCAGGCTGCGGCGCAGGGCAGGGGGGAGAAGCGCAAGCGGGTGGTGCTGACGCTGAGGGAGAAGATCGACATCTGCACTCGGCTGGAGCGTGGCGAGAGCCGGAAGGCGCTGATGCAGGAGTACAACGTGGGCATGTCCACCCTGTATGACATCAAGGCCCACAAGGCCCAGCTGCTCCGGTTCTTTGCCAACTCCGACTCCAACCAGGCTCTGGAGCAGCGGCGCACCCTGCACACGCCCAAGCTGGAGCACCTGGACCGGGTGCTGTACGAGTGGTTTTTGGTGAAACGTGCTGAGGGCGTGCCAGTGTCCGGCCCCATGCTCATCGAGAAGGCCAAGGACTTGTACGAGCAGATGCAGCTGGCCGAGCCCTGTGTGTTCTCCGGAGGGTGGCTCTGGCGCTTTAAGGCCAGGCATGGCATTAGGAAGTTGGATGCATCCAGTGAGAAGCAGGGCACTGACCACCAGGCGGCTGAGCAGTTCTGCGGTTTCTTCAGGAGCTTGGCCGCGGAGCACAGGCTGTCCCCAGAGCAGGTTTACAACGCCGACGAGACAGGCCTTTTCTGGAGGTGTTTGCCCAGCCCCGGCACAGATGGCGGGACGGTGCCCAGCCTCAAGCCGGGCAAGGACCGGCTGACCGTCCTGTTGTGTGCCAATGCCACCGGCTCGCACAGAATCAAGCCCTTGGCCATCGGGAAGGGGGGTGGTCCTAGAGCCTTCAGGGGCATCCAACACCTGCCCGTGGCCCACGGGGCCCAGGCCAGTGCCTGGGTGGACCAGGAGATCTTCTCTGACTGGTTCCACCACGTCTTCGTGCCGTCCGTGAGAGAGCACTTCCGGACCATAGGGCTGCCCGCAGGCAGCAAGGCCGTCCTCCTGCTGGACAGCTCCCGGGCCCACCCAGCTGAGTCGGAGCTGGTGTCCGACAACATCTTCACCATCTTCCTGCCCGCCGGCGTGGCCTCCCTGCTGCAGCCCATGGAGCAGGGCATCCGGAGGGACTTCATGCGGCACTTCGTGAGCCTGCCCGTCACCCTGCACGGCTTCCACGCCCGCCACAGCGCCAACGACACCATCTTCAGCGTGGCCTGCGCCTGGGAGGCCGTGCCCAGCCAGGTCTTCAGACAGGCCTGGAGGAAGCTGTGGCCGGCGGTCGCGCTGGCCACAGGCTCCTCGGAAGAGGTGGTGGGGATGGTGACAGAGTGCCACAATGCCAAGCCTCACTACAAGGCCTTTGCCCACATCCTTGGGCTGAAGGCAGGCCCGCCCTGCCCAGGCAGCAGGCCTCAGGACAGCGAGGCCTGGGGGCGGGGCGCCCGGAGGGAGGCCGTGTCCGAGGCCACTGGGCCCGGGGAGCAGGCCGAGAGGGACAGCGGGGAGGACGAGGCCGCCTGGGAGCAGGCAGCTGCCTCCTTTGAGGCCGTGCTGTGCTTTGCAGAGCAGCAGCCGTGCTTCACTGAGCAGGAGACGGAGCAGCTGCGGGTGCTGCACTCAGCCTTTTGCCAGCGGCGGCAGCTGAGGCGGCAGCAGGCCGCTCTCCAGGCCGGGGTCAAGCCCGAGGCCTTCCAGGAGCGCCCTGGCGCTGACACACCCACAACCCACTCGCCCTTGCCCTGCTCGTCCGCAGCCGGTGACAATGGAGGCTGTCCCCGCACCCACCTGGCCGCGGTCCCCGCGACTCTGTGATTGTAGAGGGCGCGGTTGTGGGGCTCCTAGAATTGTCACACCCAAGTGTTCTAGCCAGTGTAGCTTTTGCTGTGTTACCTGCCCCCTGCTGGTGGGAGGTTGGCACGTTCAGATGGCCTTGGCCTGCAGAGGTGGGGCCTCTGGGAAGCAGGTGCTTCCCGCGGGTGGCGGCTCGCTGGGCTTCCGCATGGCAGCGGAGGCAGCGCTTCCCATTCCTGGGTTTGCCAGCTTCTCACTGGGGACCTGGGGCCAGGTGAGAGCTGGGGGGGGGTCTTGGGAGCGGTTGGCATTCTTCTGCCCGCCCAGGCACGGAGGTCGTCACAGCCAGCACAGCCCCGCGTTGTGTGTGTGCGGGGTGGGGCCGGGGGGTTCGCTTAGTGCATGTGTGCAGGTGATAAAATCCTAGCATTTTTCAAAAGCCCCGTGTTGCTTCTTTGGGACCCGGGGCCCATGGCATATGGCTGTCATCCCACTTCTGCGTCTGTGCTTCCTGCCAGTTCCCGATCACTAAGGAGACTGCTCACTTGCGGTAGGTTGAGGCGCTGCGGGAGGTCAGAGGTCAGGTGTTGCCCTTTTGGCATCAGTGCCGGACACGGGGGAGGATGGGTCCCTCGGGTGGGGGCGGGGCATGGCGGAGCCCCTGCAGGTCCGTACTCATCAGCCTCACCGACCTCATGGCTTGCTCCTTCCTGTCCCGCCATGCTGGGATGTCTGGCCTTGGCACTTCGTAAAGCCAGCGGCCGTGGACAGCCTTCAGCTTGGCCCTTGTGGGGCCTGGGAGGAGCAGGAAGCCAGGCTGTGCGGCCTTCCTCCCCGCAGAGTGGCTTGCAGCCCTCGGGGCCTGCACTGGAGGTGTGGAGAGTGGACTCAGTGCGCATGGTCTGTGGAGGCCCGGAGCCTCTGCTCAGCCTGAGTGCCGGGCTGGGGGCTGGCTGAGCCCTCAGTCTCCCCACTGCATCCTGAGTGCCCCCAGGACCCCCAGCGGCCTCCGAGCACACCTGTTCTTCCTGTGGGACCAGCCTCCTTAGCTTGCCCTTCTCAGTCTGAGGCCGACTCACTGTGCTGGGCGGCCACCTCTCTTTCCTTTCCCCTGTGACTCTTGAGGTTCTGGGGAGCAGTGCCACCTCTGATCCCCCCTTTTTTTAGTAATGGGGTTTGCTGAATAGCCAGGCTCGCAGCCCTGCCTCTGCCTCCTGAATGCCGTGATCACAAGCTATGCCACAACACCCGACTCCCCCCTGCACCGTGAGCTGGCCAGCGCCTCTGTGTCCTCACAGTGAGAGGCACGGCCCCAGCCCCGCCAGGCCCCGCCCCCTCTGGCAGCTCCCTCCCACCGGCAGGGCCTTTCCTTCCGGCTTGCCTCCCACCTGTCCCCCGCCCCAGGACTGCTCCTGCGCCACTCAGGGCCCTGCAGGCTGCTTCCTAGGTGACTGGCAACCCTTACCCTGCTTTCCGAGGGTCTGGGTGAGGAGACCCCCCCGCCTGCAGTCACGTGCTGTCCACTGTCAGGGCGCACGGTACTGCTGGATGCGGGGAATCGGGGCTTCCAGGTGCAGCTTCCTTGATCTTCTAAGACTGCTCTGAGGATCCCAGTCCTGGCGCCTGGCAGAGGCTAGGCAGTAAGTCCCAGTCTGCACTGCCGGCCCCGTGCAGGCTCTTCAGAGCGGGAAGACCACTGTGGCCAGCATCTGGCTGGAGAAGGGTGACCCTGCCCAGGAGGGCCTGGCGTGGACGAGCAGACGTGCCTGCCATGTTTTCAAAGACGCGCTCTTCCCAGGCAGCAGCCCAGGTCCGTGGCTGGTGGGTGGGTTAGCAGGTAGTGGGAGGGGTGGATAGACAGGAAGGAGGTTGCAGGACCAGGTCCTTGGAGGCCGCTGGCTGTGGCTGGGCTGGCTCAGGGAGAGCCGCTCCCCCCCCCCCGCCCCGCCCCTGTGCCACCTTGGTCAGGATCGCTGGGCTGCCTGACAGCGGGGGAAGCTGGCCCAGAGTCGAGAGCCTTGCCCAGCTCGGCGTGGCCCACTTTGGGGCCGAGGCTGGCTCTGGCATCAGCCCCACCCTGGGCATGTGGGTGGGCTCACCCTTGGGTGAGCCTCAGTTTTCTTATTGGAAGGACAGCCTGTTCTCTGGGGGTGGCTTGGAGGCTCAGGCGCTTCTGGGCCAAACAAGACCCTCTTGCCATACCTTTGTGGCTTAGTGCCTGCAGAGCTGTGAGCAGTGTGGCCTGGGAGTCCCTTGGGGGTAGGGTGTGCTGCACACCTGCATGCCTGCGTGCATCCTTTTGCCCTTGACAGCTCTCAGGAGCCGGGCCTTTGGGGATGTGCACAGGAGTTCACAGCTGAATGAACCTGGTGGGTTGGAGGAAATAAGTCAGCTGACAGGCTCTGAGGGGAATGCCTTGTCCCAGCCCCTTCCGCTTCCTTTCTGTTTCCTGGCTGCCATGGGTGAGCAGCCCTTCCACCAGGATGCTTGGGATGCTTCTGCCTTGCCACAGGCCCAAGAGCCGTGAAGCCAGCCGAATATGGACTGAAACTGAAACTTCCATAGGTCTTCCTAAGGACACGGGCCAGGCTCAGGGGGAGGACAACACGCCCCATCCCAAGAACACTGGTCTTCAGGGCAGGTCCACGCTGCCCCCTGGCCCAGGCAGAGGGGATGAGTGCTGGGCCTGGATCCTGGGGCCTCTCACTGTCATTGGGTCATGGGTGTGTGTGTTTGTGTGTGTGCACGTGTGAGTGTGATGCACGCAGCTTGTCTGTGGCAGGGCCACAGATCAGAAGTGTCACCCAGGTGCTGAAGGCTTGCCCCAGCAGGAGGTGTTGAGAGGCAGTGCGCTTGGGTACCCCCCAAGCGTTGGGTGCCCCCGGTCTCAGGCCCCCTGGGCAGCAGGTCACGGTGAGGCCAGGGCTGTGGTTTTATGTGGTGGAGCTTGGCAGGCCTGAACCACGTCAGCCCTCACAGGAGCCCCAAGCGGGGAAAGTGTGGGGTGAGTGGAAAGATGGCTGCTGGGGGAGGGCTCTCCACACGTGGGACCCCACTTTCACCACACACGTGAGGCCAGTAGCCCTTGGGGTGGCCATTCCGCCGCAGGGGAGACCCTTCCTTAGCTGCGATGATTCTGAGCACATGGGTGCTGGTGGTTCTGAGTGGCCCTTCCACAGAACCCTGTGTGTGTGCTGACCACATGCAGATGACAGTGTATGTGTGTACACGTGTGTGCTAGGAGGCTGCAGGACCCCACCAGCCCCACGCCTGGCGACCCTTCCCTCCCGCCAGCCCCTCCAGCCTGGCCAGACCCCTAGAAAGGACCCAGGGCTGCTTTCCTGAAGGCCTAGTAGGCTTGTGCCAGGGGCATGAGCACTGGTGTCCTCTTCTTTGTTTTGGCAGAGTTAATAGAAAACCTGAGAATCCTGGAAACTACCTGGAAGCCTTGGACCATCTGGTCCCCAGACACTGATGACCTCACATGGTGCCGGTGACGGCCAGCCTCATCTGACCACTCCACTCCCCCCCAGTGGGTGCTCAGTAAATACCCCTGGAGGAAGGGCCCCTGTGGTCCCTGGATACCATCCTCGTGGCCACACTGTCTGTCGCCACACTCTGTGCCACACTGTAAGCGCCAGGCTCTGGGGCTGGGAAGGTGGCTCAGTGGTGGAGCGCTCGCCTCGCACGCATGAGGCCCTGGATTTGATTCCTCAGCACCACATACACAGAAAAAGCCAGAAGTGGCGCTGTGGCTCAAGTGGTAGAGCGCTCACCTTGAGCTGAAGAGCTGAGGGACAGCACCCAGGCCCAGAGGTCAAGCCCCACAATTAAAAAAAAAACAAATGCCAGGCTCTGCCCTTTGCCTCCGCCAACCAGGGCACATTCCGCTAAGTGCTGCCTCTCGAGGGGAGCCAGCCCCCCTCAGCCACCTTGCTGTGACCAAGGTTTCTAATTGATTGGATTTTATTTGCAGACATTAAGTGGTGCTGTGAGCTGACAGGCCGCTTCCCAGCTGGCAAATGGGATCAAAATGTCACTGTGAGTTTTTAAAAGCTCTGCGCCCCCCTCCCCCCCAGTACTTGATCCTGTGCCAGTCTCGGCAGCAGCTGACGACCTCTACCCACCCCCCTCCTGCCCCCTTCCTGCCAGCCTGCTAGACTGTCCCATGGCTGACCTCCCTCACCGCCCTCTCCCTCCCCGCCCTCACGTGCCCCTGCACCACGTCAAACCAGTTCCTCAAACTAGAAAACTCGGGGTGGGGGGGAGGAGAAAGTGCAGCGTGGGCGCCCTGCCCGCGTGGGTCTGCTGGGGAGGAGGGGGTGGTGGCTGCACAGCACCCTGATTGGAACCAAGGCCACCAGCAGCCTGACCTGGGGGGTGGATGGTGAGTGGGCTCTGGAGCTCCGAGGTGAGGACAGGGAAGCCCCGTCCTCAAGGAGGAGAGGCTGGAGCCACCACGAGCCAGCAGCACCCTCAGCAGCCCTGCAAGGTCAGCCCAGGGCCGAGTCAGTCTGGGACCTGGGACCATGGCCTGAGAAACCACTCGGGACATGGAGGGAGGGCGGGCGGGGGAAGGGAAGGATGCCTGTTGTTTTCCTCGCATCTCCCTGCGGCTCCTGCTGGCCAGTCTAGCTGAAAGGCCTTCCTAGAAGAGCAGAGGCGGTGCCCCCGGGGGGCCGGCAGGAGGGGGGGGACACTGACATCTTTGACTACCTTGTGCCATCCACAAAGGTTCACTGGGCATGTGGGGTGGGCTAGGTGCGCCAAACTCGGGTGCCAGTCCATGGGATGAGTTTATGTCTGGAAAAACCAGGAGGGGGCCACAGGGTACAACAGAGCCCTAGAGTCCTTGGCCCAGTGGGGACACACGGGCAGTGAGCCAGTGCAGTCCCAGGCTGCTGATGGCCACCCTACCCAGGGGTGACTCTGCCCCTAGTGCCCTTCCTTCCTCCCATTAAGCACCTGCTATATGAAAACCCCAGAAACCAGGCCTGGGGGACCGTGTCCCAGAGCAGAAGGAGGCAAATGAGGAGAGGACTTTAACACCGGCATGTTTGCCATGAGCTCAGAGGTCCAGGCTCGGCAGAAGATAGGTCTCAGCCATGAGTGAGGACAGGGGCCAAGGACATGGTGCTCAGGATCAGGCTGGTCAGAGGTGGCAGGGGTCTGTGTGTCAGTCAGCTTTTCCTTACTGTGACAAAGTACCTGCTACAAACAACTTAAAGCAGGGGAGATTCGTTTGGGGGTCTGTGTGTCAGTCAGCTTTTCCTTACTGTGACAAAGTACCTGCTACAAACAACTTAAAGCAGGGGAGATTCGTTTGGGTCATAGTTTCAGAGGTTGGAGGCCACAGTGACTGCTCGCCGTGTGTTGGCTAGGAAGGAGAGAAAGACACAGAGACAGTCTTAACCCTAAGACCTTGTCCTCAGTGACCTGTTTCCTTCCAAATGTGCCATAATTTGATCCATAGATCCACGTTCGATCTGAGCGCTCTCCATCCAGTCATCTCTGGGTGATTGGATCTGCCTTTAACCCACGAGCTTCACATCCAAACCATAACACTGAGTCTGATTTCTCAGGCTTTGGCTTCTGTATTGCTGCGGCGTTGCCGGAGCTGGCTCCATCTTATCTCGTCACAGATGGGAGGCTGCTGGAATCTGTGAAAGGAAATTAAAAATACACCGCAGCATGTCCACATCACTGGGCTCAGCCAGTGAGGCCACGCTCACACATCACTCATTCATTCACTATCACCTCTCCATCCACCCATCTGCCCATCCACCCATCTGTCTTTCCATCTGTCACCTATCCCCCCAACCTTCTACACAGCCTTCCATCCACCCATCCATCCATCATCTGATCATTTTCCCACTACAAATACTTCTCTCCCTCCCTCGCTGTCTACTCATTCACACAGCTACTCATCCCCTCTTCCATCCATCATCCACCCACCCACCCACCCATCATCCATCCATCCATCCATCCATCCATCCATCCATCCATCCATCCATCCATCCATCCATCCATCACTTCATCTGTCAGTCCTTCTGACAGAGCCACCTCGCTGTTTCCCCTTGGGGCTGCCTGGATGAGGTCTCTTTCCTTCTTGAGGACTGTGGAGGCCAGGTCTTTCCATGCTTAGAACCAGAATCTTCCCCACCCACTGATTCCATGACTCCTCTGCTAGGTATTCCCACCTTAGAGATGGTGGTCAGAGGCCCCGGGAGGGAAAGTGAGTGGCTGGAAGGGGGTGGAGGGGAGGAGGCAAGCTGAGCCTGTTCCTCTGTTGGAATGTGGCTGCTCTCCTGGGCACAGGTTGTGTGGGGCTCACTGCGGCCTATGAGTGAGCTCACTCAGCCCACCTCACAGACGGGGCCCTGAGGCCAGGAGGGGCTGTGGCAGGCACGCCGCTCACCCCGGCTCCCGCCTCCCAAGTCGCGCTGTGGCCCATCACTGCCCCTCGGGGTCAGCAGAGAAGGTGGATTTTTAGTGAGGAAAGAGCCAGGTACCAGCCACATGCCCACCCTGGCTCCTGGCGTGGCTCCTGCGCATCTGCTTGCTTCCTCTAGAACACTCTACAGATGCCTGGAGGTGTCTTTCCATCCTGGTGTCCTCACGCCTTGGATTCTGTGCCCAAGTGTTGCCCAGGGGAGCTTTGGTGACCCCTGAGGGCACTGCTGTTATTCTAGCACCCCAAGGCCACCACATGTGGGGGACAGGTCCCCTGCGGCTCCCCTGCCCTCTCCTGCCGGGTTCTCTGGTCCCTCTCTGCAGAGCTCAGCGGTCTGTACCCCCTCGTGGGGGATGGGGCCTGATGTCTCCCATCTGCGTTGTTTCCCTCCACTTCTACCCTCAACATTTATAGAGCGTGTACCGCATACACTGGCACCCTTCAGGGACTCTTGGCTGCGTGCAGGGGACACGGTCCCCTGGATGTGTGCTCACCAAGTGATGTGCCTGCCTGCTCCCTGGTCCCCAAGCCGGACCACCTTATTTAGGAGTTTCTCCCACTTTGTGGGAACCTAGAGGTCTAGAGGGTGCGAAGCAGAGGCCCTAGCCACAGGGTCTGTAGGCTGGCTTTCCAGCAGACTGGCCCATCTCCTGCCATACGACCCACACAGGGAGAAAGAAGGATCTTCAGGATGGGCAGTAAAGGACTTCGCAAACGTCCCAGGGAGGAGCAGCACTCAGTGGGCTCAAAGCCTCCCCAGGAAGGGTTTATTTTACTGCTGCCTTTGTTTCAGGGCCTGAAGCAGGTCCTGACACACACAGGCCCCGGGAGGAAGGGCTGGGGAGTCTGCTTATCTCCCACAGGACCGGCTCTCCACACCGGCACCCCTTGCCTCCTGCCTCCCCACATGGTAGAGGAAGTGGCGCCTGGGCTCTGGCCGCTCTCCTCTCCCTCTGAAGAGGAACTGCTGGTGACGGGGCTTCCTGGAAACATGGCTGTGCCCATCAGGGCTTAGAGTGGTCCCCAACACACGTGGCCCAAGGCCACAGGGCTGCGGGGGGAGTGGGGAGCCTAACAAGAATCAACCCAAGCAGAGCAGGAGCAAAGCTCTGTGAAGGAGGACATATAACCAGTTGGGGAGCCTGAGGCTGGCTCCCTTCAGTCCTCGTTGGAACTTACCAGGTGACCGTGGTGCCTGGTGATGGACTCACAGGCCATGGGGTGTGGGGTATTGGTCTGCTCTCCAGTACTCCAGGGGGAAAGGGAACGCTGAGGGTGTGGTAGCAGCTGAGTTTCAGAGAGACCTTATTCCAGTCTCTGCTGGGCATGCCTCATTTGCTGCAGCAGACCTGTCTCCCAGGCCCCGGAGGTCCTGGGTACTCCTGGCACCGGCCCTCCCTTGTCCCCATTCACTTCCTCCCTCCCTCCCAGAGCCCTTGGCGGGGCTCACAGAGGTGGTGGAGGAGGCAGCTGAGGTGTGGCACCTGGGAAGGGCTCAGGGCACACGCCCGCGTGCAGCCCTGTGTCCCTGGGCTCCATTTGGCTGCCTCTTGCTCTTGCTCTGGCTGACGCCAAGGTTCCCAGACACAAAAGCCTCTTTCCGCTGCTGAGGAGGCCTGGATACCTGGGAGGTGAGTCAGCAGAGGGCGGTGAGTAACTGCCTGCCTGCGTCAGTGCCGCTGCACCTGTGGAGAGAAGCAGGCAGCGCCCGAGCCTGTGTGGTACAGAGAGCGAGGTGGAGGCGAGAGAAGGATGAGAGGAAATAGAAGACCAAGAATGGGGAGAGGGAGAGAAGGAGGGAGAAGGAGAAAAAGGTGGAGGAAAGGAGCTGGGCTGCAGGGCTGAGCCCTCCTCATTCATCCATTCCCTCCTTGTTGATTCCCTCATTCCCTGTTCATCCATTTCCTTGTTCATTCATCAATCACTCATTCCCCTGTTCATTTATCATTCATTCATTCCCACCATCATTTATTCCCTGTCCATCATTCATTAATTTCCTCCCCTTCCTCCTTTCTCATGTCCTTCCTCCTTCATTCATTCCTCACTCTCATTCATGGCCTTCCTCTTTTACAGCTCCTCCCTGTCAATGGCAGAGCCAGTGCTGCAGGGACTCTGCCAAGCCCTGCCCGGGGGAAGAAGTGGTTCCCATTGCCAGGCAGGGCTGCGATGGGGTTGGATGTGAACCCTATGGGCACAAGTCTCTCTGAGGGCCAGCTCCACTGAGGGGAGAGGGAAAGGAGTTGGCAGAGGCACAGTCAGGTCAAAGGAAGCAGTGCGGTGGCTCCTGCTCTCTGGGTTCATTGGCAGTGTGATAACCTGTGAGTGAGAAATCCACAGAGGCACTGTTAAAGGTGACAAAGGAGTTTTATTAGTCAGTCTGCAATCCTGTCCTGGGTTACCTCAGAACTAGGAGCAGCTGCAACCTCCAAGGGGGCAAGCTTTCCCCCCACTTTTTCCTCCTTCCTACAGGCTTCTCTGCTTTCTGCAGACCTCTCTGTTCTTCACAGGCCTCTCTCATCTCCGCGGGCCTCTCAGATCTCTGTGAACCTCTCCGCAGGCCTCTTGCTCTCCTCAGGCCTCTCTGCTCTCCATGGACCTCTCCAGCTCTCCATAGGCCTCTCTAATCTCCGCAGGCATCTCTACCTTTCTCTGAGTCTCTTAAATCTCTGTGTGCCTCTCCACAGGCCTCTCTACTCTCCACAGGCCTCTCCACCTCTCCACAGGCCTCTCTGCTCTCCAGGGGCCTCTCCACCTCTCCACAGGCCTCTCTGCTCTCCAGGGGCCTCTCCACCTCTCCACAGGCCTCTCCGCTTTCCACAGGTCTCTCCCCTCTCCACAGTTCTCTCTGCTCTCCAGGGGCCTCTCCACCTCTCCGCAGGCCTCTCCGCTTTCCACAGGCCTCTCCAACTCTCCGCGGGCCTCTGTGATTTCTGCAGACCTCTTGGCTCTTCACAGGCTTCTCCACACTTCACAGGCTTTTCCGCAGGTCTCTCGGCTCTGTGTGGGCCTCTCCACCCAGGCCTCTCTCCTGGCCAAGGTCTCCTCAGGCCCCTCTGTGGTCCTAGGTCTCCCGACAGGCCGGCCCAGTCATTCCTCCATTCTGGGAAGTGCTTCCTTGCCCCGTGGCTCTTGTGGTACCCCCTTTCTATATCCTCTCTCTGGAATCCCCTCCTCACTATATCTGGTGGCCTGTCCCCCAAACTGCCCTTTGACATCCATCTTGTGGCTTGTGGCGGTGATGTCAGCATGGGGTGGGGCTTCCCGCCCCTCAAGTTCTCACAGAAGAAAGCAGTGTGGCGGCTCCGGGTATCTGGGTTCGCTGCATGCTGTCCAGGCTGAGGTCACAGGCCGCCACCACCTGGATGCTGTCTCCAGGGCAGATTTCTCTTCTGGGGATCAGGGTAGTGGTGTTGGGTTCACCCACTGTAAGTGGCAACACCCTTTCTCCTCACCCACCAAGGGACTTCCTACTATGGGCAGCAGTTGCCCTCTGTCAGACCATCGAGGATCATGGGAGCTCCATCAACAGGAGAGGCCCAGCAGTGGCTATGGGATCAAGACAGGTGTGGGCCACTGGAAATATAAGGAGGCATGACATGAGAGTCCATGCTGTCAGCACAGAGTGCTGCAGACTCAGATCAGACCAGCCCCAGACCAGACTAGATTCTGGCTCCAGACACACAGTCCCAGCCAGACACTGAGCCCTACTCATATTGAGCACTGACCCTGCTCACACTCAGAGCCCTGACCCTGCTCACACACTGAGCTGAGCCCTGACCCTGCTCACACTCTGAGCCCTGACACTGCTCACACACTGAATCCTGACCCTGCTCACACACTAAGCCCTGAACCCTGCTCACACTGAGGCCTGACACTGCTCACACACTGAGTCCTGACCCTGCTCACACTGAGCCCTGACCATGCTCACACTGAGCCCTGACCCTTCTCACTCACTGAGTCCTGACCCTGCTCACACTGAGCCCTGACCTTGTTCACACTGAGTCCTGACCCTGCTCACACTGAGCCCTAACCCTGCTCACACTGAGCCCTGACCCTTCTCAC